GCAAGACAAACTGGGGATAGTAACTAGCAATAATATTCAATATGTGCTTTACAACAAAGAATAGAGATTCTGAAATTTTATGTACAACGTCCTGACCCGAAAGAAGCAGAAGTATTAACAAATAAATAGCCCTGAAATTGCCTGTTAATTGTAGAAGACAATAAATTTTCTTATCAATCCCCAGATTTAGATCGGTAGATTAAATTATATGGAATCAATGGACGAGACAGTTGCATAATATGTTGAATTTTGGAAACCGAAATTTAAAGTTAAACACAGTAGTTTGAACTTCAAAAACTAACCGCAAGTCAGAAACTCACAATACAGCAATGACGATAATAGGTAAGTCAAAAGCTTGGCGAAAAATGCAGAGATAAAAACAAAAGTTCAATAAACGATGCAAACAGATGGAAGAAACGACACAGTGATAAGGAGAAATATGCTCCACCTTCTAAACTGAAGGAGTTTGGAATGATGAACAACTGTTCAGGTTAGTCTGGATACACGCTATCGTTCGGTCGAAACTAAAACAAGTTAAATGGGTAAGTGATGGTTTTAAACTTCACTGAGAATTAAAATATACATTATAACGCAAACAAATATTACCACCTGGTTATTCAACTAACGATTGTTCAATCAACAGTCAAATCTAAATCACATTAACTAGATAAATTGATCAAGGATATAAAATAATTACAAAATGCAACAAGCAAATGTCATTCTATCGATTCTTGATAGAACACGTACAGGTTATTCGACATATGTAATTTAACTTCGCTATAACACATGGTATCTTCAATTCTGGAAAAGTGCATCGACTCACAACCAAAGTTTCACAGTTTCAGTTAGTGCAAGCAACACAGTAGAAAAAGGGAAGCAAATAAATATGGCGGCCGCCATAATTGAATACCGACTGAAAAAGCATAGATGCAGTTCAGAGAAAACATGAAAATTCATTGAAAATATAAGGTAAAAAAAGGTACAATAAGGGGAGAATAGTTCTATCTCAAATGAGATCCGAAAACCTACAAAAAAGTATATCCAAAGAAATTAACAGAAATAAGCAACAACGCTGTGTATACGGAAGGAATTTCATACACGAATCTTTAGAAAAGAATCTCATGATGTATACAAGAATTTTCTCACAAATTCTCACGGGAGTGAACAAACGCAATGCACAAGCTCAATATTATTTAAAAAACCGAAAATTAGCGAAAATTACCCTCAGTCATTTATATTTAATAATTAATAAATTTTGTCATTCTCTAATGTGTCCAGAAAAGGTAAACCAAAAAGGATTAAACGTAAGAAAAAAGGCTTAGTATACATACGGGCAGCTTAAAACCTGAATCCTGTGCAGTAAGAGAGGATGAAGAAAAAATGTGCCCATAGCCACTAGTAATACAGTGGGTTTGCTTTCTTCAGAGACCGGTCAGTTATTATTATCTGGCTGGATGAAGAAATGCAAATCGTGGCATTTTTCATTACATCGTAAACTTCATGTCAGCTTTCTACTTTTTATATGAGTGCATTCAATAGCTCTAAGATCACTTAAGCATCTGAAACTTATGACTCACAAGTGACTGCGAAGAGTATATTCTTGCTAACTGGTACTCAGAAATATGCCCAGAATAATACTCTTAACGTTTCGAAACCTGGAACACAAAGGGAGAAGTGTTCATCTCGATAGAAGAAGCAAAAAACAATGTTTTTTCTACTCAATGGTACGTTAACATCAAAGTAAACCTACTGGATATAACTCATTCAGACTAAATCTTTTAAGCTGATCCAAAGAGACCAAATGAAAGCTCATTTCGACCCATTGTTTTAATTGGTACAGTGGTAATGTTCTGAAGAGGTGACGTCAAGCTACGTATTGCTACAGCATTACTCAAACTGTTGGTCTTAGAAATCACGCTACTTTTGCTCGCAAATTCTTACTGTTTAACAGCATCAATGAAAAGAGGGATTAGGTTAGGTCAGTCATTTAAAAATTGATTTACTATGTTCAAATTATAGATGGAGTTATAAAAAGCATCATAGTCGAAATTTGTGTAGAGACATTCTAACTTCAGGACAACCAGGATAACCCATAGATGAAGTAGAAACTTCAGTTGTGATCTAGTACAGGGACTGAAGAAGATGGGGCATTGTATAAACCAAAACCTTGGATGAATGTTGTGTGGAAGCACATGGTATTATATCCCTTTATATTTCAATCTCTTTTAACAGATTTTCACGCCGAAGGGGTTCCACTTACCCTTGCTCAGTGTCTCTTATCATTCAGAAAGTTACTAAACCAGCCTTATAGTTTCATAATGGATTCCAAAACTATCCGGTTTTAATTTAAGTCTCAAATGAAGGACCTTGTCAAACGCTTTATTTAGGCCTATAAAAATTATATTTACAGGAATATTTATCTCTTTCGCTTCAGCCGTGTTGTTCGCTGGACAAAAAAGTAAGCCCTTCCAAATAGTCTAAAATAACCATCCGAATAATTTTCTCAATTAGTTTGACAACTACATTGGTTAGACTAGTGGATCGATAGTTTCTGCTCCCCGCCTTATACACTGGATTGATTATGGCGTCTTTCGAACCCCTTGTCAGTCTGAGTTGCCACAAATACATAATTCAGCATGGCGAAAGTTTCTACAGTTACGTTCAACAGGGCTTTTACAATTCTACGATGAAAGGCGTCAGGACCACTGAACTTATCTCCTTTGAGATGCTGGAGTAATCTCGAGACATTTTCTTTCTCAATGACTACAGGGTCAATATATTAGCTGTTTTGATCACAATTTATGGTTAGTTGATCATCTATGCTGATAGAAAATACCTTACCTTTCAACATCACTTCTTATCAATATCAAGAGGCTTTCTTGTTCCAAAAGTGGTGAGATTCCATCATGTCTCTGAGTCTGCCTCTTTATATACGAGGAGAAACTTTTCAGATTATTTTCAAAATCCCTATCCATTTGTTTTTGTTGACTACTTAGTTTTATTTATCAACGCTTTACAAGTATTCTTAGTGGATATGTACTGTTCTAAGCCAGTAGAAATGAACATATTCCAACTATTTATCCTGCGTGTAAGAAGTTTCTTGGCCTGTTTAGTCATTATTGTTATAATAATAGACCTGATTCTAAAGTTGTAGATATGTCAAATCAGTACGGTCGCTATCAGCCAACGGTGGAAGAATATTTAGATAGGCAATATCCTCAGTTGCATGAGTGGTTACTAAGTCTAAGAAGGAATATCCTTGGTTTGAACCAAGATGTTTGGCTTTGGGTACATCAAGAGACTACTATCGAAAGTCTTCAGATCATACGGCGGGCATTTCTGCACAACAAGTATCAGGTGCATTAAAGCCTAATATCAAGCATCTGTTATTTTCACACCATAGCTGAAGGTGCTTTGAAATAAAGTCACCAGCTAAGCACATTGGGCTACAATAGATGACACCAAGTATAAATGTAAACATTTAATAGTCAGTACACAGCTGATGGCTCCTCCAGTTCCACTATCGTAGAACCCATAAGCAAAGGTGAGGATATTCATGTTATTAGCTATATATATATACAAGGACGTCACCCGCTTTCCTACATCTATCACTCCTTAAGTAGTGATATCCGACTAATCCTGGTGTAACACCTAAGTTATGGACCGATCAGATTCCGGTCGCAGCTATGATGAGCAGCTGTAATCTACCTACTAGTGTTCCTTGTTCACAGTGTTTATTTCCTATAATACGAGGCTTTTCATAAAAACTCCCTTAATGAGTACATATTGTAGGGGCTTGATATCGTAGCGGGTCCTCTTGCCTGTTATTATCAATTCTTTGCATGAACTCCTGTAGAGTATGATGTTACGAATAAATGCTTCGAACTTCCCAAATCACTCGCTTGTCTAATTTTTGGACCATCGTCGTTTGGTTCTAGCAAATTAACTAGAATAATATTCGATGAGAATACGCTTTTAACAGTCATGCTATGGTGGGGTTCAGTCTTACCCCCAGACTTTATTTTATGACGCAGAATGAGAGTCTTCCAGATAGCTGTCAACTACGCGGGTGGTGTTGTGGCATTTTTCTTTGTTCCCTCACGGTAATCCGCTTTCCGTTACTCAGGACAGCCATATCGGAAATCAGGAGCGGTGAAGATTCTAACCAGGCCTTCAATCTCTACTTTTGAACCATGACTACTGATACCAAGCGGTATTTAACTCTGCATTAGTTTCAATGGGGACTTTGCTTTTCCGTGAATTACGGCTGGACGCTTGGCACGTCCTGTAATAACGCATACTACACTGACACATTCTTCGCCTTATTACTTGTTTTATCAGTAAAAACATCATCAAACTTCTTTCAGGCCAAAGCCAGGAGGCTGATAGCCTACTGGATCAGTAATATTATACTCGAAAAGTAAACCATACAAAGCTAATGCGAGTTAAGCTTGAAGAGTCTTTTGCACGTGGTGTGGCTTAAACTGCTAGATATCTTATGGGACCCGTTTTTACACTCATAACACTGTATTCCTGAGTCGATGGGTAAACAACGATTTGGCTATCCAAAGAACCCACCAGAAAAAACTATCACGAGAAGGACTTAAAGAAAATCTCAAACCTCAATTGGAATAATTTGAGTTAAAGTAGGACAAGTATGATTTGGTGCAACGAATACACAAAAGAGAAGTGAAATCACAACAAGTATTAGATCATTGTCTTTTTGGGAAACATGCGCGTGTAGTTTTTGAAATAGTGATCTAGATATTAAGATGATTCGTGGTTCGTTATAATTCGGGGCAAGTTATTTTGAAGGCTATTACTTAGAAGTTCATCATAAATTCATTTTAGTGCGGGATTATTCCCATTACATAAAGTGATCAGTTACTGAGACGAAATTCCAGATCAAGTGACAATAACGTCATTTATGAGCTCTCTTAAAAACAGGACGAACCTTTGCACAGATGCTTTCAGTCACTTATATTGACTAGTTTCAAATAAGCGGTCAATAGCGCAGTAAACGAAAGTTAATTATGATTACGTGGTTTTGTGTTCAGGTCTAATAAACTCTCCCTGATGTTAGGTAAAGGTGATTCACCAATCAAAAATCACATCAATTCAACAAGCATCTCAGCTTACGATGGTAAAAACGAATGGAAGTGCGGTGGAAACACTAAACTATTGCACATCAGCAATGACCTTAAAACTATAAGAGAAAGGAAAAAGAATAAAGTCAAAGCCAATTTGAAAGATTCTCGCTATAAAATAGGTTTGAATTTAAACCGAACTCTATGTCGTTTCAGTGGATCAGTGTATTAGAGAGGCAGGATTCACGGTAGTTGAGAATGATGATATCAATGACGCGTAATGTGCATATTAAATGTAACATGCAGTTAAGATATTTAATATGGAGTGACAACTTTTTGCCTTTGGAGAGGATCATGAAATTGAAGCCGTATCAACGCGCCAATCACTTTCCTGGTATGATTGAAATATGTCGAAAGGATCTCCTTACCAAAAATTTCTCAAGGTTTGAATTTTCTTGATCCTTTTTTCAAAATAGATTAAATGTCTATTTCAAATTGGCTTGCGTTTGTGAGGAAATTGCTTTGTTTTCTCAAGAAAGGTCCTTTAGATTCAAACTTTAGTGTATTTTGCACCGAAAACAAAGCATATATCAATCAATGATGTATGTAATTAATGCATGAATAACTCCAATTATTTGTAAAACTTTCACGGCTTTTTAGTTGCTCACGCTTTGAACTATATTTATCATCTCATTTCAACAATTAGGATGTTGAATTCTGTGAGTTTATAAGTCATTTTCCCATAGTATTGGTAGAATAAGGTTCTAAAATGATATAGGTCTCCTTAAATTGACAAATACAACTGTGTTTATAGTTCCTTAGGCTAAAGTTATCAACTGCACATTAATAAGTGTTTAGCATTGGGATTTTTATGATCGATTTGCGTGTTTTTTGTAACTAAAGATACGCAATACTTAAACTAATCTCTACAACTTACATGAAGTAAAAATCGTGGTACATATTGGTGACAAATAATGAGCTTCACTACAGTGCTATCTGAAGAAAGTATGGTTAGATTTGAAATGTTGAATTCAAACATTTAGCAATAGGCTACTGAAGCCACTAGGTGTTGCATATTCTTCTATATCATAATGAAATTTAGTTTTGTGAGGAAAGCCAACGTGTGTCTGAGTAGTTATGGCTGTAAAACTAGTACCTTCTAGAATCTTGAATGATAAGATGGGTAGAACTATATGCTTATCAAATGAAATGATATGCCCTTAAAAGTGAACGTTTTATTTGAGTAGATAAATCTGACCTGAAAATTTTTTGAACATTTACTTCCTTTCAAATTTCAGTATAACCACAGAAGAACTAAATGAACTGTCTCACTGCCTCACTCCTACAGGCAGACAATTTTATTGAATCCTAATTTGTTTATGGTTGACTGGAATAATCGAGTTTTTAGTACTCATGGTGCTTAAAAATGTCACTTTTTGGCTATGGCACAGTGACATTTATAAAATACTAACCATTTTATTGAAATATTTTTGCTAACTTTTAAGCTAAATGAACACTTAAGTTTCAGTCAACCATTTTTATTATTTTTGACCTGTCATTGATATCTGATGATAATATGTTAGTAATAAACTTGTCATATTCATTTATTACTTGGTTTATATATCTCGCTAAACGCATGCATTTTATAACACAAATCGGAGCAACTAGAATTTCAGGACATTTACACGCGTTGTCTTACTGTTGGCTATAAACCGTATTTATGATTATCTCGTATTACGTCAAATAAGGATCGTGTGTATTACTTGCTGGAAAGTATTAGTAAACGTATTTGAATGTTTTTTATTCAGGTGTTTGAGGTAGTCGTAAAAAGGTGATACATGGTAATTAAAATATTATGGACAGGTTCACAACTCAAACCAGCTTTCTTTCTATCTTCAGTAGGAATAATAATCGATCTAAATACAGGTATTTACTGGTAATTATATCTTGATTCAACTTTAACTAGTTATGTTTATATCGATTTGCTAGGTGGATGAACTGGCTATTCCCCACTTTGTTTTCATACAAAATCCTACTTAAGTTTTAACTAAGAGTCTATTTAATTATCGTTTTTCGCCTTGACCAGAATGCAGAAGGCTGAACCAGATGAATATAATTTTATGCCAAATACATGGATCCTACCACAAGAATTTGGATATTTTTCAAATTATGCAAGAAAATTATATCGACAAGGGTGTAACGCATGTTTTATACAAAAACCAGCTAATGGAGCTATGGGACATGGGTGAGTAAATGAAATAGTTATCTTTTTGTTGTTTTTATTTTCATTGTAAAAGAATAATTGTTCAAAGTTAATGATTGCTTCTTCAAATAAAGCAGGGAGTTGAAATCAATATGTGATTCGTTTGAACAAATAACTTACTAGTTTACTAGTTTAGTTTTTATTGAAACTTTACATCATCAATCATATGTTTTCGACAAAATTTAGAGACTTCAAGGTATGTAACAAATTTGTTAATATTGAGTTTAGGGATCTTATTCTGATGCATCTTGTTTATAATGAGATTCATATTTACATCCTGAGTGATCATTTGCTTGGTTACAATAAGTTTAATTTAAATGTTACGCTGTTCATTAGACCAATTTTTATGTTTAGTTACTCTACTAATCAAATTAAACCACACACTGCCCATGATGTCATATCTTTTCCGATGTCAACATTGAATTGTCTTTGTCACTTCACTTCACAGAATAAACCATTCTATCCCTAAAAATATTTATTAATTGACGTAGTTTTGAATCTAAATCTTTACTAGCTTTAAATACTCAGCATTTTCCCAAATAATTTGATATCTGCATTAAAGTACACTTATAGTACGGTTTGAACATTTTTATGCCAATAATTTCGAATTCCTCAACCGGTTGATTTTTTTATTTGGTGTCATTTAGTCGATTATTTAATCTAATAAATGTTATTAGATAAGCTAGTGAGCAGTTTTGGTGATTTTAGTTTTACATTTATTGAACAATCAGCAAACAACGTTCGTCAACTTATGGAGTTTAGTTTAAGTTAAAGTTGCACACAGATCGATTTCAATTGACGTTTTGTATTATAATGGATGGTGATGAAAAATTAATATGTGATACCATCGAACTACGAACCAAGCCAATTTCAGCAAACCTGTATATCAAACATCAGTCATGTAAACAATAATGAGTGACTTCTAAACAAACTCGCGATTTTGTAGAGTCCGACTATGTATGTGATGAAGTATTTATTGACGAATGACATTGAATCATGTTAGTTCACTGATCCCATATGATATCTGAAACTCCTTCATTTAACTGACTAGGTCTGTGGTATGAACGCCTGAGTTTCATACTTAAATAAAATACGAGTTAGGTATCCTATTCTTTTCAAATGATCTCTAGTTAAAATTAATCTATGACAGAATTCTAAATCAAATCAATTCTGATTACTAGATAAATCTGAAAGCTGTAATTTTTAATAATTTGTAACTAGTACACTGCGATTAAATATTACTACAATACATTATTACATTTATAATTTCATAGCATGTTTATTCAATTTCATAAATATAAGCAGTACGTAATCAGTCTATATCCAGTGATTGTTAGTCTCAGCCATACTCCCACATCCAAACTACATGTTTCCGTTCCACACGATAACCGCGATTATTTATTATAGAGTGGGATATTTTCATCTCACAAGTACTGTGTTCCCTGAGCTGAATGGTTCAGTTTTTGAGATATATGCTGACTTTGCTTTCTAGAAAAATAAGGATACTTGCACTAGAAAATTATCCTGCTATAAAATCTTTATGTTGAGCTAAAGTGTTCCTTTTCATCCCAGAACACTTTCAGATCTTTAATTCATATTTTCTGTCATTTTTGTCACTCTGTGACAATAATATAAATGTCACTATCGTTACTTGAAAACTACTACCTTAAATACTTTACAAATAACATCATCTTACGGAAACCAATAGCAGGAATTTATTTGATTTAAAGTAAGATGGATGGATTTGTATTGATTTGAGATCATTCAGAATTTTCGGCGCGTGAAGTCATCTTGATAGAATGAAATATATCTATATTGCTTCCTGCTGGAGTTACTAAGTTAGTTTTAGGCCGAACCCCAAGAAAACTTCACAGTAATCATTTTGGCAAAGAAACATATCTGTTTTTTTCGAAAAGTAGTTTTCCCCAATAAATTTTAAAAATTCTTCTTTTAGAAATTTATTATTGAAATTTCCATATTATTTTGTTTATAATTGTAAAATAAAGAGAGAAACTTTGTCAAAGTACATCTTTCTTTTGAGGTCATTTTAAAATAATTACAATGATAATCAATAAACTGCAGTCAAGTTCAGTTATAAGTAATAAATTAGCATCCCCTGCAGATTACAGACCCATATTGATTTTAAAAAGTAGAAAAAACTCTTTGGTAAACCTCACTTCAAAGCAGTAACCTTAGATATTGTATTTTTTCAAAAACATATATTTACTGAAAAAAGATTTGTTAGTAGTTCACTTCTGTGTATCTAATTTTGGTCGAATCTTTTATCAGTTGTGGCCTTGTGCCCTAATAATATATATCGTACTGATACCGCCAATTGGAGAACAGTGAATTATCGATCGGGCCAAAGGACGTATAAAACCCTTTCTGATAATTAGGAGTATTTGAATTATAATACAGACTAATAATCCTAGAAATGACGCAATTTAACTAAGAAGTATTAGATGAGCATGAACGAACGTATTGTATTTGTAATTTGAAATCAAGCAGTCAACAAGTACAAAGAAATCACTAGTTCATTCAAACACCATTCCTGTACAACCAGTCTAAAGTCCCTATCGGCTTCTGTGATATGAATGATGTATTTCAAACATACTGGGTTTATATACAGACCAGGCAAATCACATCGTACCATAAAATAGAAAATAACATTTGTACAATATCGAGCCTAGAGTGGCTGTGAATATATGAGACTGTAATTAATAAACTGGGCATAACTTCAGAACGGTGAGTCGCATAATAATAGTCTATGAATCAAAATAAAGCCTTTAATAAAAGGAACACAAATACACATAGTTTAGCTAGTTAATAATTATAAAATAAAAATTATATGTATCATATTGGTTCATAAACTTCTCAAAAGCTACCATTCATAATTCTCGTCGGGATATAACAGAACCAATGACTAAGCTCGTTCATTTTGATTTCATGTTAGTACATCTTCCTAAAGCAACTAATGCACATAACAAATAAGAAAGATAAGTATCTGTAGATAGATAGATTTGCACATCTAGTTGATACTGTAAACTCAATTGATTGCTAAGATGGTTTGAAAAGAGCAATCTACCGAATCTTAATCAATTTACCATTTACTTTGAAATTTCGTTTATTCAATAATTTTGGAGGCTATTTTCAAACAAATGATGACTATTATGTTTAGCCTATAGATTTTTTGTTTAATATAGACAACCGACTAATCAAATATTCTATTTTATAGTTTACATTATGAACTGACCCTAGTTAGGTAGCCATTGAAAACCATGGGGGACTGGACAGCTACTCCGTTCTAGTGTTACACTCTTCTGCGGAAGGTGCCCATTCCGGCCACGAATTAGATCCTTAAAATAAAAAAGTCGGAATACCTTACTTTTAATTTCTAACTTCAACCAGTCTTCGATCTTGTGTAGCCATGGCTAAATGCCTCATACCTGAATTTAAAGTTTGTTTAATATTATAAACATTTGAATTCTATACAATCATTCTACTTATCAAAACTAATGAATATTCCTTTAGAAACGTGTTTGCATTATTCTTATAAATAAATTCTTAATTCCCTGAAATCCCAGTATTGTCAAATTTAATAACTACACATACACATTAGTTTAAGTTTATCTCACTGGTCAAAAGCTAGTTGAAAGACGAGAAATATTATTTTAACGCCTATTTTCAAAAGACCTTCCTTCAAGCTAGAGAACTTTCTAACAATCATTTGGAACCACATATACATGATACTTTGAAATGTGTAAGATTTACAAAAAGATTAAGAGGCAATGGGAATTAAAGTTTGAGATTATGGATTACGGTAATATCAGTGGTAATTATCAATATCATTATAGAAAAAACCTTCGAAGCTAATTTTATTATTACCATCATCAGTAATAATGATAATGATGATAAATATCTTATCCATTAGCCACTATATAGACTCATTAGCCTAATGAACAGATGGTTGATATTTTAAGTGAAAGATAATAGGTTTGAGTTTCTCAGCACTGGAATACAGGTAAATTTAATTACACAGTTCCAATCGATGAATAGAAAAGTGTTTCATGAACAACATTCTTAACAAGAATCTAAAACTATAGTCAACTAGATTTTGTGAACCTTGCAAATCATAATAAAACTAGTCAAGCAGTGAACGTAGTTTATGAACTGTGAAAGAAAGGTCATATCATAATGACAGAAAGTTGTTAGATTTTATGAACCGTGAAAGACGTTGCTCATCACGACGGAAACATGATCTAGAAGGTTTAGATCCATAGAGACATTTCAAATAAATACTGATAACTGTGAATTGTTTACTCTTATTACACTGAATACTTTAACGGTTTGATCCTAATCATTCTACATAATAAGAGGTGCAGCAAATTAAGTTTATGAAATAGTTTCTACATTGTTCTGACTATGTATTCCATTGTTATTATCATTGTTATTATTATTAGTTTGATTTGAAATTCGTCCGTCTACAATCATATTGTATATTTCCTGAGGGAAACCGACAGATTTCTGAATGAGTTATGCACATATCTTTTATTCCGGTTAATTATTGAAAGCTTCTTACTCACTATCGACTTTCCCAATTGAGTAGCTGGATTAGACATGTTTTCATGAAGCGTATATTATCAACAATGGACTTAAATGACCGTATGAATAAACGCTTTCTTAGTAATCAGATGTGACTAATAAAGTGTAGCCATAATGACTGTACGAAAGATATAACTGGTGGATAACACTGTGGTATGACTATAAAATATCTTGAATTAAAAGACTTTGGAAATGTAAACTATTAAATTTCAGACTAATTTGTATGAATGGTACTGTAAAATTGTCATAAACAATAAGATTATCTCTCCTCGAATCATTATGTCTCTACGCCTAGTGTTTTAGTTACAACATTAGTACTGCGTAATTATGTAACACACTGGTACTCATTCATCTGACGATTCGATCTATAACTAGATTTAAACCACAACAACAGTACATTATGGAAAAAAGTACAAAGAATAGAAATATATATATATGGTATGCCAGATATGTCTGTGTTCACGCATCGATCAATCACAAGGGACTTGAGATGGATATATCAGTTTTTATTACCACTAATGGTACTATTATTATACCTAACACTGATATCTATCTTGATAGTTTCCTCTAGATAACTGATTTAGAGTGAGCTCTTGAAACGATGAACAAATATGTCAGAATTCGCTTTGATTATGATTGGAAAATTAGCCTTAAGTTGAACAAATCTTTACAAAGCCTTTTAAATATCTTTATCAATTAAATTTTAAGTTGTCTCATTGTTAATATTCAGGATTAGATTTTGATCGATCTTAGTTGGTATATATGTATATCCTATTCAGATTAAGTCGTTATGATAATCTCATCACAAGTTTTTCTAGAACAGATGGAATGCGGTTAGCAGTATAAACAAGAGAGAGAGAGAGAGAGAAAGAGAGTTTCGTCTTATTTAAGACTTGTTTTATAGATAAACCTAGACATCAGTTTTGATGCTCAGTGATATCCTCGGTATGAACATCAACACTAGAATATAGGTAAATTCAGCTTAAGAGTCTTGAATAGAAAAAAAAATCATTCATCACTGATTGTACTTTTAGCTATAATCCAACTGTTCTATACTGTCTTTTTAATAAATTATTAATATATTACTAGGATAATGTCTACAAATATATATATGCAAATGTTTTTGATTATTTCCATTCAATCTCTTTTCTCTCATTACTTTTATCTTTTTTCAGAATTCGTTTATATTGTAATATGAATAAAATATCAGCAAATGTAAATGATTGCATAATAAGTGTTATACAAGAATATATTGAATATCCATTACTTATTGATGGATATAAATGTGATCTAAGAGTTTATGTTTTAGTGACATCATGTGATCCGTTAAAAATTTTCATATATAATGAAGGTTTAGTAAGATTAAGCGCTGAGAAATATATTAAACCAAGTGAACCAAATGGAGTAAGTTTAAATCTAATCAACAAAAGTTCTTTTCTATATGAAATGTTTTCATAAATATGAAATTTGAAATTTCTAAGTTTGATAATAATGTGTTACGCTTGATCTAATAGTTTCAACTTGCACAAAATATAGGTCTAGAGTATTCTGAAGATTATCTCAATCTATTTAACATCTAAAAATAGTTTTATGCCATGTTGAATCATCTAGACTAGCTGCCACATAGCTAATTGATTAGTAGAATTTGATCAACATTAAGGACTAAGTGAATTTAATATCCGTCATTACTCAGTGATCAATTCATTTGAATATCTATGTTCTACAAGTCAATCACAGTAGAATAATCTTAGTGATAACTTACTACTCTATGAAGAAAATCTAATTTTTCTACTCATTGGGATATTACAGATATATTATTTATTTATAACAATCTACTCAATGCTTAATTTATTCGAAATTATCAAATCAAACCTTGGTAATGATACTTATAGTACTCTGACACGTTGATTGGATTCTTGGATTTTCGATTGATTACAGGAAGAAGAAAGAAACTGAATAACAATATAATAAAGAAGAAGACCTGGTTTTTGTAGGTCTCAGTTATAAGTAAAGCCTAAATATCATGTATATCTACCATTGATCACCGTTCAATGATTAATTCTTATACGACAGTTTTATCTACTATCCCTATATATTAATATATATTCCGTGAGATAATTCAAGAAGTTCTATTCAAAAGCTGTGATCAGTGACATTCGAACATGTTTACACATTATATCATGAATTGATTGAAGTAATCAATCCATACCATTGGATTTCAACTCAAAGTTTGGAAAGTTGAGCACTCTTTGGAAGACCTGAAAGTTATAAGTTCATTCATCAATCAGGTCATGTATAAGCACTACTAAAGAGTTATTCAATACTCTCTAGTTTTCAGTATTTATCTAATTGAATTCAATTTGTAATGAAACAATTTTTTTTTTCTTTTTTTAATATTTCAATTATTCAGGATTCAATTTATCGACAATTAACTAATTATACTATCAATAAACATCATACACAATATAATCGTTCTAATGATGATATATCTGGTAGTAAACGTTCATTTTCATTCTTTAATCATTATATACATCAAATGAAAAAATCTAATCCATTTATTATTTGGGATAAAATTTATGATTTAATTATTAAAACATTAATTATAGCATTACCACATCTTGTACATTTTTATCGTATTTCACAACATAAATCAAATCAGAATTACATTCATAGTAATAATAATAATAATAATAATAATAATAATAATAATAATAATAATAATAATAATAATAATAATAATAATAATAATAAACACAGTCTAAAACAATCTGGATATTATAAAAGTAAACAAGATTTAACAATGAATACTAAACAATTCATATACAATAAAGTTAATCATGATCCTAAACAAACATCTATGACAACATCAACATTAATGATCAAATCTAAAGTTGATCAAGATCCAACATCATCATCATCATCCTCATCATTGATTTGTTCAAATTTATTTGAAATATTAGGTTTTGATATATTAATTGATGAACAATTAAATCCATGGTTAATTGAAGTGAATCGTTCACCAAGTTTTAATACAGATCAACAATTAGATCAACAAATTAAGTATAATTTATTAACAGATACAATTCGTTTATTAAATATTAAGTTAGTTTTATAATGTGAATAATGATAATTTATTTTTGGTTATGTATTATTTTATTTTTAAAAACCAGTACGTCCTGGATTCCAATCCCACGGGGTGCGTGATCGTGGATGCGCACTGCTGAGGAGTCCCATACTAGGACGTAACGGCCGTCCATTGCTTTCAGGTTTTCCATGATGGTCTAGCTTCAAATGACTCATGATTTCAACTTGTGAAATTTCTAAAAATCTCCACAAAACCCATTCTGAAAATATTAAATAGTTAATTAATCTGATACTGGAACGTTTAAATATTGATATTCTTAACTACTTGTTATAACCTTCAGACTACTTCTATATGTTAACTTAAATATTAGAGAAAATGTAGGCAAAGTATGGGCTTTACTATATGGTTCGAGTCCCTTTGGTGCGGGACTGTGGATACGCAATGCTGAAGAGTCCCATGCTAGGACGAAACGGCCGTTCGGTGCTTCCAGGTTTTAAATGGTAGTCTAGGCTTAGTCAACTCATGAATTTAACTATAAAATTAATTATAATTCTGTAACTTAGATTTGTACCATGTCTTTATCAGGTATATGTTGTTAGTTCTCGATAACAAAGTCGTATATTTACACTTCTTGGCTTTCTATTTTTTTAATTTCCAGAATGTCACAAAACAGTCTTTTACTTTAAATATATTTTAACTGACTAATTGTATTAATTGATTAATGTACTGAAGCTGCCCTAACATACGATGGTAAAAGTACAGCATAAGGATAAGCCAATTAGAATCGAAAACATAACTTCTAGGCTATTGAGCGAAATTCAAAACCCACTATGTAATACTTGAAGTACATTTAAAATGATAATAAGAATTACTTTATGACATCATGAAGTAAAATTGATGGTGTTAAACATATCATATGCTTAGTAGATTGTATCTATAACTGTTACTAAATCATAATCTCAAACTCATTATCCTGAAACAAATCTGAATTCCTTGAGGATATATTTTGTAGATGAATGAAACAGATAACACCTCGTGGATTTATGAACGGCTGTTGTTTGGGATGCGCTTCTCCCCCTCTAAATGCAAATTGTTGCTTCAGGACTGGTCTCCATCAACACCTGAACTAAGGATAGGGAGTGAAGTAGTCGAACACGTTGACAATTTCACTTATCTTGGAAATCTGATCAGCCTTAATGGGTTAGTGTCTGACAAAATCTCTGAGCGGATTCGATAAGCACGTTTGGCTTTTGCCAACTTACGTTATCTATGGCGAAGGCGAGATATCCGTCTAACAACTAAGGGACGAGCATACTGAACAGTAGTTCGTTCTGTTCTATTTTACGACTAAGAAACGTGGCCACTAAGAGTAGAAGATACTTGTAAGCTACTAGTATTTGACCACAGATGCCTTAGAAATATTGCTGGTGTCTGTTGGGATCACCGGGTAAGTAATAATGAGGTTAGATGTAGGGTATTAGGGGATGATGGTAAATCAGTTGATGAGGTTGTGAATCGTCATCGACTGAGATGGTTGGGCCACGTATTGCGTATGCCTGAACACCGATTACCACGTCGTGCAATGCTAACCGGTGTGCGGGATGGTTGGAAGAAATTTAGGGGCGGCTAAACGAAAACGTGGAATCAGTGCTTGAAGTCACTAACTTTTAGTCTGAGTCATGTTGGTAGATGCAGACTACTTGGCTGGAGTCCACGGGACTATCGTAACCAGTGGTGGGAGACTCTTGGTGACATGGTTCAGAATCGATCACAATGGTGTAGGTGTATACACTCTTTATTTCCCTTTAAACTACGAGCTTAAAATCGCTTCTTTCTACGAACTAATTCTTTCTTTCTGTACTATGTCCTTATATGCAATATTTCTTTCATATATTACACAATTGAGTTAATCGTTTCTATGAATCCGGTGTTCATCTTGTTATGCTAATGAGGTGTGGCAACTTGGACCGATGCATATATGTACCTGGTCCTGCGTTGTAACTGACTGATTCAATCATAAATAAAACAAATGATCCCTCATTTTTCTTTTTCGATATTTCTAATAAGCTCCTATTTACAACGCTGGTAAATCATTTCTCAGAGTTTTCTAGGTTTCTGGTGACTTTGATAAGTGATAAATTTCGGATTTCTCAGTAGCAATTTATCAGTTATTCGTCTATAAGCAATTTAGAATCAGGAATATATGTGTATATCGACACTATCTAAATTGTCATACCATGTGATCAGCACAAGCAGATGTTCACCAAAGTAGTTGAATTAGTGACAGTATAAATGATATTCAAAAAGACAGTAAACGTAGGGAATGTGATTTCAGAAATCGTTCTTAGTGCCGATTGAATTCTTTTGATCAAGTTGCAATGTAGACACTAGTCTACGTGACTCGATATTGTGTGAGCTATGTTGTGATGTTAAATGATGGTCGAAAGTAGTCGATAAGAATTTCTAGAGATCGTTTTCGCTCTATTAGCCATTTATCAGCAAGGCGTACTGGTAATTTCTATGCTCCTTGGAGGATTCAACCTTGTGTTATCTAGCTTCACATTAAGAAACATTAACACTGAGCTATTCGTGACGCGATTGACCTCCTGTACGACTGAAATATATTTTTAATCAATTGACTTGAAAAAAGTAACCCCAGACTTCCTTACACATCAAAACTATTTTTTCATGAAAATAATTAAACTAGACAGTTTGAAGTCCTAGGACCGAATCCGCCGTGGAGCACCAGTTCCCTCAGGATTTCAGATACACCTTGTTGATGAGTGCCAAATAACACCGAACTTAGATCTAGGGTTTCCTGTCGACTAACTCCAATCATCACCTTAAATGACTGGATAGTCACTGACTGATATCAGTTATCCTTTTCCATAATGACTCTCTACAATAGCTTCACACACATATAATTCATCGGTCTTATTTTTCAGACCATCAGATAAATCTCGTGTGGAAAAACAACAAAAATTAACTACAAGAAAACGTTTATATAGTAGTCACTCTGTACAAACACGAAATTGGATGTATAAATCAAATTCCAATATTCAAAATGATAAGATTCATAAATATTTCGACAATAATCGATTGTCTACCAAAAAACATGTAAACCATGAATTGTTTCGTCGTGACAATGTCCATTTAAAAACAAATTACCAATCACCTTTTGCAAATCATTCAGATATTGACTATTTAAAACTGATCAATGATCAAGATCAATTGGAGGATAGAAAGCTTAGTTGGAAAATTGATCGTTTAGTAAGTTTGAGTTATATTATGATTACAGTTAATAAAAAAGGGTTATAATATTAGATTACGTAATATGAATAATAATAATAACAATAGATTTAGTGATTATAATAAGATGATTAAAATGTTTTTGTTATAATAATAATTAAAGGTCATAGAGGTGTAAAAATAAATAAATATGATGATATGATGAGTATTCATGAATAAAACAATCAGAATATAAGATATAAGTAAAGGGGAGAATGCAGGAATAATAATAATAATAATAATAATAATAATAATAATAGGGCAATCAAAATACTTAAGACCAAGGTAACGATAACGATAAGACGTACTTCTTTTGTACGCATAGTTCTGGTTTAAGCTCCTGGATGGTAAGAGCTTCGGCTATTTTTAAAAGTTGGATGCGAAGAAATCTGGGTAGATTTGAACGAATCATATAAACAATCTTAAATTCATTTCTTGGATCAGTGGAATGGTTACAGTCGATTAGGTGTTCAAGTATAGAACTCCTAACTGCTTTCCTTTCCCCCTTATAGAACCAAGCCGGAATATGTTCCCGTATCCGAGTTGAAAGCGAGCGCTGGCTACGGCCAATGTACCTTGCTCCACAAGAGCAGGTGAACAAATCTATTGTTATTATTATTATTCATATTACGTAATCTAATATTATAACCCTTTTTTATTAACTGTGTTCACATTTCCTCACGGAATTAGTACTTTTACAAAATCAAAAAAATTTTTTCATATATATACGATTGTACAGCTTGATTATATTATGATTATCTTTTTTTTATACTTTGAATTATGAATTGATCTTGGCTAGATCACCATTGGAAACTGGAGGTTACTAAACAACTGATTATTCTTAGTACTGAATTCCTTAACTGTGTGCATCCACGACCTGAGGATTTTGTTTTGTTTTTATAGAAAATGTAGTTCTTGTAATCAAGCAATAAAATGATATTTACAGATTGTGTTTATTAACTTGTTTGGATTTTGTGTTAGCATTTTTTTAACAAGCTATATCCATAATCATCATAGAACTAATTTCTTCTATGTGAATAAAATAAGGTATCACACAATGTCACTATTCAGGTCTTATAACCGAACTTTGTCAACCCACATCTAAACATCAATATAACAGTGGATAAGTAATTTAATGTCTTACCAAAAAATACTGGTTCTTCTTGATAGTATAGTCGTTTTTTATGTCTGTGAAATAAAATGCTATCTGTAAGCAGAAATGGATAGTGATTAGCAGTGGAATCCAGGTAGGGTGTTACGTTCTATTTGGGACTCGTCAGCTGGATGTACTAGCATCCCAACACAAATGAATCCAGCTTCACACTACTGCACAAATAAGTGGTTATCTGGACTTAGTAGCTAAGTGGATAACGTGATGTTATTTGAAGCGAACGGTACTGGGTTCAAGTCCCAGGGTAAACATTATCTCATATTTAGGTACATTGAGATGACAAATCCCAAATAGAACGAGACGCGCGTCCTGGATTCCACCACTATCTATCATTCATATCTGCCTATGATACTTGTTACATAAGACAACATCGAGGCAGTCTGCACAGGATACACGGATGCCAATAAGAGACTTGTCAATTGTAGTCCAAAAAATCAATGAGAAGATTCAAATAATCAACACAAAAATGAATTAAACTGTTATCTGTTACTAGTTCTGTGGGACAAGACTGAAATGACTCTATGCACTGAACAAAGCAAGTCTTTTAAATGAAGATACTTTCTTTGAACAGATCACTGATTAAAATATATAAAGTTACATATTATTTTAAATGTAACTACATTACTGAGTCATGTAGTTTTTTCCCTTTTACTAAATTCTATGTCCCCAAGAACTCTTGACATTGCCCTTAAACTACTGAAATAACAGAAGACAATCAAAAGTCTATTTTCTATTCCGATTGAGGATGGTACTTTAGAAGAAATTTATTTTATACAGTTTCTGGATGGCCTTGAGAGTCGGCTATCGCATTTACGTAGACAAAGGGTTAAGAAATTCAAGATGACTGTAATTAAAACTTCGTTTTTGTGTGATTGGAATTGGAATTTTTGGCAAATAATGTATTTTCCAACACAAAAACAGTTAGTTTCGATCATCTTGCAACAAAGGATAGTAAATGTTATCTATAATCGGTTAAACCAATGCACAAATTACATCTACAACATGTAAACTTTAAGCATATTTGACATTATTTTAAAAAGTACGCACACCTATTTATCAATTATTCACTGGTGCTGACTACTCCAACTGTTTGTATGGATTTGACAAATATAGTGTCCAAAATCTTTTGGATAATAAAGTAATATCACCGGTACAGGGTTGTGAAGATTGTCGTTTTTATTGAGTTCATGAACTAATCGATGTTAGACCATTGAAAACCTGGAAGCGCTGGATGGCCGTTTCGTTCTAGTATGGGACCACTCGGTAGTGTTTCTAGGTTTTCAACCGTGGTTTAACATTGATCGGTTCATGATCTTAATAAAAAATGATATCAGTTAGTAAGAATATACTGAAAAGTAGGTCACGTATTCATATCAAAAGTAAATGATTTTTTTCTTCTTGAGTTATATTGTCTGGGCTTAATGTATTCTACTACACTATTTTGACATTATTTTAGATAATTCCACCTCATTGTAGTGATATAGTGTAGCAATATATTAATATTCAAGTACCAGACTCCACATTTCTTATGATTGATTGAAATTTAGGTCATGAATTCACGAAAATAAAACTGAACTAGGTAATAGAGTTTATAATACCACTAGGTTTGATGCTTGAATGGTATTAGAAATTAGATCGGGTTACATCAGACGCACGATTTACGACCAAAATAGAAAATCAGAGTAACGCTAGAAAATACTTTATTCCACATAATTACAAGCAGTTACTTTTAGTGATTCCTCAGTACAAATCACTAAAGAGAGGAAATGACATACATATTTAATACCTAATCGTGACTAATCATATTTACTTTCATTTTCACTCATCGACTATGACCTTGTACTTACACAAATGGACATATTGACAGATCAACAACAACTGAGACGTTAACACTTATTAGTTCTCGCGCTCCTTCTAATCAAATGATGATAGAAAGCAGATCAATTCTCCATCGTAATCAATTTAATTACGAATCAAAACTCATACAATAGTGTATTTGAGTTGTCTGAGATCAGAGCAACACGAAATTACAATATGTACATAACTTAATTATATGTGATACAAGACCAAAGTATTAGGGAGAATAGTTAATTCAGGATCTGAAAAAAAAACATTTGACGACAATTTATGAATCAAACAAAAACTTAGAAATAGAGGAATATAAAAAATACAATAGTCCGAGCGTCTACTAATAATTATAGGATATACTTCCACCGTATTCAAATTACTATACATCACTTTATAAAATATTGATTAAGAAAATTATTGATTATGGAAATTATTATTATTTGAACACATAGATATTGATACAAGGAGGCACGAAATACATATGCGCCACACAAATCTCATTTGATATGTGTGAGGACTGTGATACTGCCCGGATGCCCAAACCAAAGCAGATGGTTTTCTTAGGGAGTCACGCCCGGAGCCTTCGACCTAGAGGTCTGACCAATAAGGCAGTGAAGCATCGTGAAAAGATGCATTCACATGGTAGCCGATGACAAACGATTGGTTCATACGCCATTTGTTCCTTCAGGATACCGGAGCCCATGTGCACCATTGGTTTGGAATCAGGGTTTTCTAAATCCCCTAAGTAGATTCTCCGTGTCCACCAACCCGGTTAAAGCGCCGGACATTCGCTCTTCGTCCTCTCAGTTTCGTAAACAACACCTCCGTCACGAGAAGGCAGTGAGTAGGACTTCCCTGGCAGAGGCTGCGTACGCGTGGCCATGTGAGAGCATTTCGAGAGGGTGAGCGGAATCTCCTCACTCTCAGTCGTACCAGAGCATTATGGAAATAACTCGTTTATTTATTTTTCTTTTTTTTCTAAAACTAATTAGAAACAACAATTATCTAAAATACGTCAACAATTATCACTTGAATTCTATGAACATCATAATTGTGGTAATTGGCATCGAATATTTCCATCTGATAATTCAACATTACAAACAAAATATGCATCATTAATTATGACAAGTTTTAAACAATTTTTATATTCTAATCATAATGATATATTGAATGAAATAAAAACTACTTATTTAAATCCAATAACTGTAAGTAAACATTGTATTGTGTTTATAGAATTCATTGAATATATATATTTGCTCAGTGTAATGCATTTCATAAGTATTAAATCTAATATATTGTGAAATATACTATTTATGTTGATAGATATAAGTAGTATGTAGCTGTGGTGTTTGAATGAACTAATGATTCCTTCGTACTTGTTGAATGTTTGTTTTCGAATTCTCAATACAGTACATTCGTTTGTGGTTATCTAGTACTTCTTGATCCGATTACGTTATTTCTGGGATTCTTAGTTCATACTATAATTCAAATACTCCTAATCATCATAGTAACACTAATTGAAATTGGAATACCATCTAGTAGAAGACTGAATTGAAAAGTACAGAAGAGGAAACTGAGAGAAATTATAATAATGAGAGAATTGAAAGAATCATGAAAGTTTATGGGGAACAACTGAAGGAAGATGTGCACATAATGTGTTTAGTGTATGATTCTTATATTTTATGAAGACACTGTAATTTTGTATAAGAACTTTTTTAATAAGAGGAAACAGGCATTCACTGCTTCCAGGTTTACATTGGCGGTCTATCATTGATCGGTTCTTCATTATTATTATTATTATTGTTATTATTATTATTATTATCATTATTATTATTATTAATTATTATTATTATTAATGGTTTTATTTCGTATTATGTTTCTGATGCAATATAGAATTATCGGAATAAATTATTTCCACAAGTTTCCTTTTCTTGTCTCTTGATTCATCCTCGCCAGTTAGACGTTAGCAGTTCAGGAATCGACATTTGTTTAGTGTATATTCTTTTCAATGCATACTGCCAGCAACCACGAAGTCTCTGATATGGGCTCTTTTTTAATTTGTACAACGAAATGTCGTAAACTTTTCACAAATGTACCTGGATAGGTTATGAGACTAATAGACATAATGATGTGTTAAAACAAACAAGAAAATAAATAACTTGTTGAAATATGCAGATGGTAGGAACAGGTAGCCCAGATATTTAAGCAGGCCTCCTGGTCTCAATTTAAACTCAACAATCTCCATAACCCTCTGCTGATTTTTTTGTATTAGAGAGAAATCGGTTTTCTTCACCTGAGTTCTCTTTCACTACAATGAATTAAAAATATCTTCACATTTACATAAATGTTTTACTATAAAATACAATATTAACACCAGTGTTTGAAATTTTACTACCACTGAACTGGATACTTGATTAATAGGCTATACACAGAGTGACTTGATCACGGTATGCCGTATATCTAATTGACGACCAATAATGGAGAACTAGATGATAGCTTAGACAATACATCATCCAACAAAATTGCAAGCAGTCTTTACTTGGTTCGTCCAGAGTTGAAATCATTAGTGCAAGAGGAAACCACATATTTAATAGTTGATGTCTATCAGTGCACGCTAAGTAATCAATCATATCTTACCTTCATAAACTGCACATCATCATTATTGTCCTAACAAAAAACAAATGAACGACAACTGCCAGGATCTATTCGTAGACTGTTATATATATAATTATACTTAAGTTATACCCAGTCTCTCACAGTCATAGCCAATTTTGGCATGATCTTGTATGATTATTTTTCATTTTATGGTGTAATGCAGTGTAGTTTGCTTGTATATAAACAACGTATGTCTGAAATACATGATTCGTGTAGTGGAGAAGCTGAGATTGTGTTCTGAACTCAAACGGACAGGTATAGGCGAGAAGTTAAAATACGGAGGACCAATAAGGACTCAGAGTTGACTCAAGGCTGCGCGTGCTAGTTGACATGTTATTGGTCCGGCACAGTGCCAAGACCATATAAGTCGATGATCTGATTGGCGATTTAGTCACGTGATAATTAATTGAGCAAAAGCCATAACAATCATGATTTTTTCTTATCTATTAGTGTTTATGTAATTTTAAGAAAACTTATGATGGTTAAAACATTTTGATTGATGAAATTATTAATAGAAAAGATTAAACTATCCTGTTGTTCATATTGATCGTTGAATTATGATTGACCTTGTTTAGTTTATGAAGATTCTTAGCTGATTCTCTTGATGGAATCATTTTTTCCCGTTTTTTCTTCAGAATAAATCAATTAATTCGAGCCTTTACCAATAATAATAAAAATATCACCCCTGTTGAACAAGTCAGTGGCTATTTGAACTAAATAATTCATTGGTTAACTCAATGATATTTGAAGAGAAAGGTACTGGCTTTGAGTCTCAGTGTGTGTATCGGGACTTGAATGCAGCTGTGTAAAAGTGATGAGTATCAGATAGGATGGGAAATGCATCATAAATATATACATATACATGTATATATATGCTAATAATTTCATCGTCATATTGTTCATGCAACGCCAAAAGTTCACCTCATATTCACCTTTTACATTAATATAACTGGTTATGACAGTTTACTGCCTAAATAAACGAAATAATATATTGTGATTGTTGGGGAGTTCCAAATTATTCCTCGGAAAAGACCATAAGGGTTCGAAAAACTCTTGGGAACACTTCATCCAATCAGCATTGAGTAGGAGCTTTTTGGCAACATCTAGAAAGTGAGAAGTCATGTGTCACGTTTCTGATTGGATAATTGCCTACGTCGCTATTATATTCAGTATGGTTCCAAGAGCCCAAAAGACGTCCTCAATACTTTAAATACACTTGCTTTTCTGTACATAAACCAACCTTGGAGTAAAGCTTTTCTGGAAATACGCACCTCCCCTCTGGTGTTCCTGTTGACGAGCAGAAGTGGTTGGGGATGTCAGAACAGGATAGGAAGACAAATTAAGCGTGTCAATAGCAAAACTGATCAGTGATATTCATTCAGCATTTATCCAACGCGAGAATTGGTTGAAAAAATTAAGTGTAACCTCTTTTAGAGCAGCAAAAAAAAATAAGTGTGCATATGGATGTACATCGTTTTTCCTTTAGAATTAGATACTTAACAAAGTTGAATTAATTTCGAGATGGAACATGAATATATTTCCTAAAATGTTTATCAACTGCTTTAGTAAAGTTAATTTTCTTTATGAACTGAATCAAATGGAAGAAAATATTTTCATTAAAATGAACATTAGACAGTCGTTTGATCTTAATGTGACAACCCTCTTTAGAGTAAACCACTAGGTGACCTCCATTAAACGATTAAATCTCAGATCTTTGAGTCTCAAGGTGTGGGTGTTTCGTTTTAAGATAATTATGTTGAGATTCAATTATTCACATTTCTAACCTGAATCAATCCTCAATGTCACATCAGCAATCTTCCAAAACTACTACTACTACTATTATCCAGTTACTAGTGGATACAAAGTTATTACTTCTTTACTTCCCTACACCTGATAACCTTCGTGGAGGAGCAGAGGTCACGCACAACGATATTTCATCAAAGTCTGTCCTGGGCAATCCTTCCAAGTTGTTTCCAGTTGCTATTCATTCTTTTGATATCCGTTTCCAATTTCCGGCGCGATGCATCCTTTATTCTTCCTCTTTTCATTTTCCCTTCAGGATTTCAAATTAGCGCTTGCCTTGTGATGCAGTTTGATGATTTTCACAGTGTATGTCCTATCCGCCTATTACCATTTTGTTGAATGCAAATAAATATGTAAATCTCTCACCTTTTTCATTTCTTTCTATCAGTTCATGTTGTCCCATGTTATCTTCATATCCAGTGTTGTCCATTCCGACTTCGGTGTTTAGGTCCCTCATCGGGATGGTCAGGTCTTTTCCTGGACACTTCACTACAATCGACCGCGGACCCTCGTAAAACTGGTCTTTACCATCTTCATCGCTATCATTGGATAGTGCATAACACTAGTTCCGTTTATTTAAATATGCATTATATGATTAATGAAATTTCATTGAACCTTATCCAAATCACCCATCAAGTTGTATGTACCTCTATTGTCGAAGTCTGATCAGTGGATATTGAATGATTTGTTTAACGTGACAACTAATCAAGCGATACTGTAGAGCCTGTTATTGAGGTTTTATGTTTAAATCCCACATGGATATCTGCTAAAATTTCAGTTTCTCTAAAGAGTACTAAGGAAGCTAGACAGTTTGAATGCCAATACAGTTGGCTAGAATAAGAAATCATGTAACGGTGAAGTTCCAACATAAGATTACATAAGTTAAGAAGTTAACTCTAGTAGTTTAGCACTACTAATAATATCAGCCTATCAAACTTCGTTATATCGGGATTACTTTGAAATTTACATCCCTTGTCATTCTTTTTCATGTTACACTCTTCTTAATTTTTTTTGTAGGAAGATGATATTTATGATGAATTGTCAAAATTAATAAAAAAGGAATCAAAATCGAAGCCTGGAATAAATGTAAGTCGATAGATCCATTCATTCATCCATTAATTTCATATTAATATGGAAATTCAAAAGCATTCCTCTATTTTCCTTGCTTATTCAATTTGTAGGCCTTTCAAGGAACTGTTTATTATCATGTTTTATTTCAACTGTTGTCAGTTCATTTATTTTCATAATTTAAATACTTCAGTATTATCTATAGTCACTGTTTAAATGTTTACGTATAATGAAGAGTAGAGTAGAATACTTAAAATACATTTACTGTAAGTGATACGTTTGTTATGTACATTAAGTTTCTTACAGAGATATGTAGAATGGTGATATTTAATTGAAGGTATTCTATTAAAACACTGCTATCAGTTCATGAAATAATTCTCTGCTTGTCTGAGCCGTATTGGTATAAATACAGACTACTTGATTAGGATCTATTCAATAATCTTAATCAATGTTTGAAGATCTTGAGTGACATGACTAAAAATGAGCCGAAATGGTGTAAATGCATTCACTATTTATCTTCTTTGAGACTTTGAGTTTCAAAATTATCTTGTATTTCACAAGTCTGTCGTAACAATCAAAATGCCAATATTTCGTCTAAACACCAAGGGTGATACAATAAATCAGTTTATCGTAATATAAAAAGAAAACTGATAAGCAAATTATAATAACAATACAAAATATGTCGATGGTACAGTTTAGCACTGTAAATTTCATACAATTTTTCCTAATGATGAATTTAACTGAAGCAAGCACAATTAATGTAGCCGTATAACATGTGAGTTCATTTATATTCCAAAGTTTCTCAACAGCTCTTTATAACCTCTAATTAAAATAGTATTCATCATTCAAAATAAATGTATATAGTTTACATATCAAAATATCGGAAAAGTTCCCGTCTATCAAGATTAATGAAAAGAGGGCAATAAGTATGTAAACATCACCTTCATTTGTGTATACCAGTTTACATGAACGTACCAAAGTAAATATTTGGGACGGATAGAATGAAGGGTAAGTGTCAGCATCTCTGAGGTCATTCTTCGTAAGCTTAGACTCAGATGACAACACGTTTTCATGAGTGCGGTTGCACGCTATCTGATTTACAACCTGCATGGTGTTCATATCTCAAATTCCTTAAAGATAATCAATCAACAAGAAACTTCGAATTTACTATTTTTCGCTGAAGCAATTTCTGGAATCAAGATTCAAACCAAATTTGTGCATCTAAAAAGATTCAGTTATCAAACTTACTTTGACACGGTGAACTATAATTGGTAAGACTATAATTCATGGAACACCCTTGAGCAGAGCTAAAGTGAAAGTCAGAAAATTCACCTACTTACTTAGAACCAAACGAGGGTTAAAAATCACTGAGAAATTACGATGAGGAGTTCGAGTTAGAAGTTAGGGTTAGGAATTAGAGTAAGAGTTTTCTTCACGAACTGACATCAGCTTTTGTGTCAAAATGCTATTCGTCCACATGGATGAATGGATTTTGTGCCAAAATCACAGACTGATTATCTTAAATCTGATCGCTTCATACATAAATTATAGTCTCGCCTAAATATTCAAATTGTTTAACATCTATTATAATTCTTCCATACTTATTACTCTCTTTCCATTTATCTCCACTGATGAGAACGCTTCCGATAATATGATATATAATTTATGTACACTGGCTTTTTGGAATGATGAGTGGTATTTTGTTTAGAGGTTGTAAGCAGCTGATAAGAAACGTCGAAATAGAAATGAATTCATATATTATACGACTACACGTCAGTTGTCCCTGCTTCAGTCGAACCCAGAATTCACTGGGAAAGAAGACAGATAAACGAAATCAACCTTTAACAAACAAAATTGTGTAGATCAGACATTCTTTTATGTAAAAAGAAAATGATGTTCTACGTTGATTGAATGAAATTTGTTCATTGCACATTGGCTGGATAGTAAGCTTGTCACTAGTGAGCACATAATAATTAACTGTATTGGGTTATTGAGTTTCATTGAAATTGTGAATCGATCAATGTTAGTCCATGGATGCTCACTGTTGATTAGTCCCATACTAGAACGAGACGCTCATCTAGTGATTCCAAGTTTTCAATATTAGTCTAACTTAGATCGGTTTATGATTTCAATAAAGTTGAAAATGTAATTTCATTTATTATTAATTAACAGATGTCAGTACAATTTGGAATTAACACATATCATTTGTAGTTATTTTGTTCTTAAACGAATTCATTACTCTATTTTAAACTAAAACTACTAACAGATGTAAAGACTATCATTTATGTATACTATGAATTTAGTTAATGAATGGATTTATATTTCATGATGAAAATAATTTCACTAAGATTATACAACTTCTGAATTCGTTGTATACTGCTTGTATATAAGTGATATCAAAGAAAGTTTTCCGTTTGACTTATGATATAAAATGGCTACATGTTTTTAGCTTTACTCGACGTTTACTTTTACGATTTGTAAATTCTTAAATATCACTAATTATTATTGACTGTTATCCATTATTCTTTTCTGAGCTTTTGACAAATGATTTCTCTGTATTATGGAGTGCTGAAGACAGTTAGCAGGATGTGTAGTGATTCTTTCAAAGTCATTATGAATATGATTATGAGTAGACATTTAAAATTTTACAAACTTCTGGCAAGTGTTATCTTATCACATTCTAACAAATTACTCCATTCACATCTTTCTCCTTGTATATTTTCTGGTAAAACGAGACGCTGATACATTGGAATCCATGCAAACAAGCAAAGGCATACAGACTACAATACTGTATTTAGTAAATATACCATTCAATGAACAGTTTGTAAAAGTTGACTTAATCAGTCAACGGAGAAGAATATTCTTTTATTTGTAGTTAATGGAAATAGATCAAGTATTATGGATGAAGTTCGGTTATACTTAAAGTGTATACTCTTCATTTTTTCCAGTTAAGGAAATTCTCAAAATATCTTACATCTTATGTTTGTAACTCGGTCCTAGATCATTTTCATAAATCCACAATTATTGATTACTTTATCATTTCATCTGATATTATTTTTTCGGAGTTATATAAGGGAATGATTTTTAAACTTATTTTTCATGTTAGTTGACAATCGTTTGCTTGACTTCCATTTAATCTTGAAGGAATCCATGTTGAATGTAAAAATCACACTCAGTGTAACCGTCACAAACATTATTGTTCAGTTATCTGACATTGAGTGTTAATTAATCAAATACACTGTGATGTTGAAACACTTCAGCAAGTTGACGTATTGTAACATCATCGTTAGAATTTGATCGAAAATTAATGAAGAATATAAAACTGGTTTTAAACCAACAAGTTAAAGCTTCTTCTTCATCTTTATTGACCTTTTAGTGGTTCCATTTACTGTTTTTTACTTTAAATCATAATAAATTTTTTATTTGAAAAATATATGATTATCCATATGTAGATGACAACCAATCAGAATCAAGAACCTCTTGACCAATCAGAATGAACTTGGTTTTTTTTGTTTAAATATTACTCTAGGTTGAACAGTATTTGACTGCAGTATGGTCACATTGTGTAGATAACCGTGACACAAGTGATAACAATGATTCTGATGATGATATAGATTACGATGGTAGCTTTGTTCATACCAATCAAAATTCTACAAACCGAATTCATTTACCAAATAATTATTTTATTAAATCATCAATGGATAGAAAAATGAAAAGTATGTCAACATTACCACCATCAAATCATGTATCTTTTAATGATGCTAATTTAAAAGTAAACTCAACCCCAGTATCTCCATGTAAATTCTTATTAAATGAAAATTGTAATGTAACGAAACAGATGACAGATAAGCTATCACTTGGCAAGAAATGCAAATCATTAGACATTGAACGAAATTTAAAACATGCAAATAAACGAATACAAACTACTGATTACGATAATAATACTATCTCTCCGGTATCGTTTCCCCGTACTAATCAAAATGGTGGTCATGACAATACTCAACTCGTTGGCGACGACCAAGGTTCAATGTGTTATGTTGATTCGACGAATAAATATTTGTCTTGCACTACTGGATCGGATGAAAAGAGAGCAAGTAATTCAAAGTCAATAGTAGGTTTATGATTTTAAAAAATTAACTTGATATCCATGTACATTATGGATTGTTTCCATTACAAATTAGCATTTGTTGTAAAGCTGTTAAAAATTATGGTTTATTGAACATTTGTTTTATTTTTATGACTTCTTAACAAAGGGAACAAATAACCCTATACAAAATGATAAGATTTTGGACTTATAAGACTTGGACTTATTATCTCCACACCTTTTGAAACCCAATTTCTAAACTTAAAACTCCTTGTCCCTACTTCCTAAACCTACACCTCCTCGACTCAGACTACGAACTGATTTAATAAACACTTATAGAATAACAAAGATGTCCGTGTTGACGGTTCCATCCAATACGACAATGAATACTGTGTGAATTAATTAATCCTAAATGCGCATTGCTGAAAAGTTTCATAATAGGACGAAACGGTCATCCATTGCTTCCAGGTTTTTTATGGTGATCTAGCTTTAATTAACTCATGAATCGAACTATTAGATTACTATAATATCCACAAAATCCCTTTCTGATTATAATTAATTTTCGATTATTAATTGTATGAAGCGTTAATGTGTAAGAGAAAAAAAGTCGAAGCATTAGTTTTAAAATAAATCAGTGTTTGTTGGGCAGTTAATATTGTGTTTCGTAGATTCCATCATCATCACCTGAAGTTTTCAAAAAAAGAAACGCAATGATTGTCCATTATTTCATATTTTCTCCGCTATTAGTCACTAGCAAACGTTGATTTCAAACTTCAATAAATCTTTTATTTCCATTAATTTCAACGATTTTAACCCTGTTTATTTTAATAGGTGAATTTTGTTGAAATGAGATCATCACTAAGAATTTCTTTTCAATTTAATGAAATGACACTTAACCGTCTACTATGAACATGTCCAGTGTAGTAGTGCAATTCAATATAGTAGATAAAATATACAAGTGTAATATAATTTTACAGTGTATAGCGAAATCTGTTACGAAAAGTACACTCTCTAATTTTCAGCACTTATTTACTAAATAAATAAAAAAAGTAATAACTGGATGTGTTGAATTAAACACACATTTATTGAACATTGAAAACATCCCAGATAACCGCTGAACTTTTTTTGATTAATAGAAAATTTTAAGCTATTTATTTACTAGTAAAACTTTTTAACACGTTTATTATAGTGTGTGCTACTGATGTCGACAGTTATAAATAGTATATATCATTAATCGAACATGGAATACCTGGCGGTAGAAGGTTGAAAAAAGTCGATGAGAAGAGAACATAAACAGAGAGTGATTGGTATAGAAAGTAAAGAACAACAATGTTTGAAACAATTCTGATGGATATTTCGCAAATATGATTCTCAAATTTTATCAAGATATTCTGTAGTGTTGTATGAAGACATATTTGATTATCCTCACTAGTGTTCTCGTTCATTACATTATAACTGTTGTAAAGAAATTTCTTAATTGTGTAGTGACGCTACGTTTTATCTTAAACTCCTTCAGTCAAATATATTATTTTAGAATATTAAAGATTCCCATTGTGAAAATTAGAATAACACATATAAGCGAACAATATTGTTTTCAATTAGATCGTCATCAGGCTTTACTCTAATATACATGAATATTTATACGAAAATTCTTTAAACCAATCAAGGCAATATGGGTTAATAATCACAATGAAATAGAATAATTCACCACACATAATAGGTAAAATTCATGTTAATAGTAGGAAGACAGATGTACTGATAGTAGTAAGAATAATAAAATACGATAACAAAAGTCGTATCAATAGTTAAACGTTGGAAATAGAATGTCAAACGTGGGTAAATAGACTTGTAATAGTCATCACAAAACATTAAAATCATTACGTAATAAGATGTGTGTAAATAATTAGATAGTGAAGAATATAAACGGCAAGAGGTGGAAAATTACAAACAAATACTAGATGTGAAAATAATAATTTATATTGCCGCTACATTAAAGACACTTTCATTATCGTAGATTAAAACACCTGTAAAAATAAACTCCTAGAACAATTCAACAATAGTTCACCCAGCGACCAGTTTCACTGGTAAAACTCAGTATGACAAAAAGCTGAACTTTGTTGACGTCACACTAAGCAGACGAAGTGATGGCACATTAAGTAGAAGCGTTCGCTTATATATGTTGTTCTAAATGCCCCCGAATGCTTTGGTGTGGCTGAGAGTGGGGTGGGCCCGCCCTTCCTCTCGAAATGCTCTCACATGGCCACGCGTATACAGCCTCTGCCAGGGAAGTCCTACTCACTGCATTCTCACATCACGAGTGTTGTTTACGAAATTGAGAGGACGAAAAGCGAATGTCCGGCGCTTTAACCGGATTCCAAACCAATGGTGCACATGGGCTCCAGTATCCTGAGGGAACAAATGGCGAATGAACCAATTGTTGGTCACCGGCTTCCATGGGACTGCATCTCCTCACGATGCTCTACTACCTTGTGGGTCAGACCTTCAGGTCAAAGGCTCGGGGTGTAGCCCCCTAAGAAAACCACCTGCTTCAGTCTGGGCATCCGAGCAGTATCACAGCCCTCACACAAATCGAATGATTTATGTGGCGCATATCTATTTGGTACCTCCTTGTACCAACGTTTATGTGTTTAATGTTCTAAATATATTTTTCTTTCTCTTTTTCAAGGCAAATATCAAAGTAGGTAAACATGAAATGAATATTCTATTAGATATTAATGATAAATTTAATAATTTACATAATTTAAAATTATCATCTTCTATAAACAATAATGAATATTTAAATAAGATAATTCCTACTACTACTACTAATACTACTAATTATCAATTTATACCAAAACAAATATGTTTTCTACCAATTATTCATTGGAATTATTGTACATTAAATGAAATTTTACCATTATTATTAAATAAAAAATTAAATGAATCAATAATTATTAAAGAACAATTAATGAATTATATAAAACAATATGAAAATATGATAAAAAATCAAATGACATTAATGAATTATTATATATTTATAAATATGTTAACAAATGAATTATCTATTCAAATAATTTATACAAATAAATTAGATCAATTTAATTTGAATATAATAGATAAACAAAATTTATTATATTATTATAATATACAATGTTTTAATAATAAAAAAATAATTTTATATAAACATGATGAATTAATACAAACAATCATGAAGAATTGTTTAAATTCAATGAATTTAATGAAAATTAAAATTAAATTAAAAGGTATTATTTATTCATTTTGATGTTATTTCTACTTATAGAAATTGTAATTAATCAGTCTGTCTTGTTGGTATATATGGGTATTGCTTTTGATATTGTTTTATTTCATAAAAGCATTCTAAGTAAAGATGAATAGTGGCTAGCAGTGGAATCCAGGACGCATGTTTCGTCCTATTTGGGACTGGGACTCGTCAGCTAGATGTACTTGCATCGCAAAGTTGATGTTCACTTCGGGACTCGAACCCAGTATTATTTGCTTCAAATACCAACGCGTTAACTACTGAGCCCTGATAGTCACCTGCTTGTGCACATGATGTTGTTTTACTTGTATCTTCCTATTGTTACTTAGAACTACAATTGATCAGTTTCATGTTGGTATATGTGTATCATGCGCGGATTGCCTTGATTATAGCCTTAAGTTATAAACTTTTTAAAGCAAAGATTGAACATCAACTCTAGGATACAGGTACGTCTAGTTGATGAGTCCCAAATAGGACGAAACGCGCGTCCTGGATTCCACTGCTAGTCACTATCCATCTTTACTTATTTGTTCATTAGTTTATTTTATTTAATTTTTGTTAAAAAATGAATATTTTTTTCAAACTAAATATTCCACTGAATACATAACATTCGTGTAAGGGAAAGTATTAACCAATGAAAATTATAACACAAAATTATTTATGCTAGAGAACTACTAGACAACAGTTTTTACTGTTGTTTGTCGAATTCTTTAACAATGCAGGATTGCATTTCCCTATGGGGAGTTGAAAAAAAGGATGACTAGACTATAATTTATAGACGAACCAATCACGTATAAGATAATAGATTTCAGATTTTGGCACGAAATTCACTCATCCATTGGGATAGAGTTTTGGCATTATAGCTAATGTCAGTTCGTGATGAAAACGTCAAGTCTAATTCCGAACCCTAATCATTAACTGTAAATCATAATTCTAATTCTTTACACAGGTTTATAACTCTCAATTTGGTCCTGGTTATTAGATGGACACTTTCAAGGTCACCTTAAATTATTGTCTCATCAAAAGGATTTTTATGGTGACTACATAATTAGAACCTTTGAAGGTTAGAGTTTTCTACTATCCGTTTTAAAACTTCACTTAAAGCTAGTCCGTAATGATGAATTTTCACGGTTGAATAAATGTCATCAACGTTATATTTTGCATAAAACATTCTTTGAATTATTAATACTCAATAAAGTATTAAAATGAGTCATGGAAATTCATTCATCATTACTGGAAACAAGTAAGTACTAACTGGTTTCTTCTTAGTTTGTGGAAACCTCAGTAGTGCAAATCTATATATCACTGATCAAATAATTCAAAATTGGTCAAATTACACAAAATATCTACAAAATTAATCTAAATCAACATCACCATATTTGCATATAAGCAAATTATCAATCCCTATTTATTTACTATTCCAGACTTAATGTATCGATAGTAAAAAGAAAAGTATGAAAGTTGACCATCTCTCTTCTATTAAAGCAATTTGAGATGAAAGAAAAATTTACTGATTTTCATAAGTTAACTGAAATGTACTCATTGAGTCTCTGGTTTTTCTTTTATTGTTTTTATACTGGAGAAGTTGATGTTTATTATTTGCTGAGATATTTCAAAAAGTTAGAAAAACAAACTGTCAAACCATCTTTGATTTTTGTATTTTTCATTACAGAATAACGTCAGTTAGAATACAATTGAGAACCAAAATGCAATAGATAACTGTTTAGTCTCAATATATGATTCCTCAATATCGATCCCTACCTGCAGTTCAGATGGTGATTAATAATTAAGAACGTTTATATTTCAATACAAGCTACTAAAATGCCACCTGAAGGTTTACATTTTGAAATGCAGTCATTTCGTGTACTATTGAGTTTCATAGCAATGTGAAAAATCTGACCTATGTTAGGTATTTCATAATTACCTAGCCAACCAAGATCATTCTGTTAGTCATAAGTAGAACTTGACAAATATATGCGGCAGTTCAAGCTATCCCACCATATCAGTACGGTGCGATGAAAGAATCAAGATAAACCCCAGGGTAGTAAAACCAGAAGTATTAATAGTAGTGGAAAAAGATTAAACATAAACGACAGTATGATTTAGGAGGAAAGATGAGATAATTTGATAAACAGTATAGGGTCATTTTTAAGCTTATGATCTAATGGAAGACATGGAATAAATTCATCCGCACCATTATCACCTATTCTAAGCCATGTCATCCAACATTACTAATCATTAGTTACGGCAATCGCTCTAACTCTAACCAGGCAACCTGTATCTAATGGCATTAATTACTTACGCCTATTAGCCCTCGTGGAGGAGCATGGGTCTCCCATCAGCGTTCTCCATCCAACTCTGTCCTGTGCAGTCGTTTCCATTTCTGTTCTGTCACTATTCATTATTTTCAAATCTGCTTTCAATTCCAGACTCAGTGTGTTCTTTGACCTTCCTCTTTTTCATCTATTGACATGATTAAGTCTTAATAGTCAGGGAATTCTTAAGGTGATACCACTCCTTGATTGATCTACTGCTATTTTTCCGCCAATTTAACTATAACAGAAAATTATTGACAAGTTAAACAAACTTCTTAAAAAGACCTCTTAAATAAAGTCTTTCCCTTCATTTATAAAAATATTTAGGTGATTATTTGCTCAATGAAGATATCAGTAAACAATTTGAAAACGGTTTAATGAATAAATTTATTCGTGGTTTACGAATAACACGTTTATTAAATCGAATCAAAAATCGACTATTAATAAATCATGGTCATTTATTTCAAAGTATAATTCAAATGATACCTAAGTAAGTTAAAACATTGATAGTTTTTTTTTCTTAAAATATTGTTTGAAAGTTGATCATCACCGGTTTTACTGTCTTGTCGATATCCACTGTATTTATATCATTGTAATTTGATTGAATAACTTTCACTGCACTAATTGATTACCATAATAATAATAATTATTCGATATTTATTTCAACACATAGATAATGGTACAAAGAGGCACCAAATACATATGCGCCACACAAATCTCATTCGATATGTGTGAGGGCTGTGATACTGCTCGGATGCCCAGACTGAAGCAGGTGGTTTTCTTAGGGGGCTACACCTCGAGCCTTTGACCTGAAGGTCTGACCCACAAGGTAGTAGAGCATCGTGAGGAGATGCAGTCCCATGGAAGCCGGTGACCAACAATTGGTTCATTCGCCATTTGTTCCCTCAGGATACTGGAGCCCATGTGCACCATTGGTTTGGAATCCGGTTAAAGCGCCGGACATTCGCTTTTCGTCCTCTCAATTTCGTAAACAACACTCGTGATGCGAGAATGCAGTGAGTAGGACTTCCCTGGCAGAGGCTATATACGCGTGGCCGTGTGAGAGTATTTCGAGAGGGAAAGCGGACTCTCCCCACTCTCGGCCGTACCAGGGCATTTGGGGTCAGTGACGATTATAATAATAATAATAATAATAATAATAATAATAATAATAATAATAATAATAATAATAATAATAATAATAATAATAATAATAATAATAATCGTCACTGACTGATTACAGCTTGATAACCATCGGAAAAGCAGTACACATACATGTTTTATTTAAATTTCCGCCTCCTTAGTAGATGAAGTAATGAAACGATAGAGACTTAGGTAAATGGTCTCAGTGTTATTTATTTTATTGAGTTGAGTGGACTGATTGCAGAGATTTCATTGTTGTTCTAGATAACATCATCAGTGTTTACTTCATGTAGAAGTGAGCTTTTTAGTTATTTTTTAAGAGTTGAAAAAAGTTCATCCTGATGGCTTTATTTATGATTGATTGTATTTGTAGTTTCCCTTATTCTGATTTTACCATTAATTTCTATGGACTATCTTGTCTATTTGACTTCTGACTTAGTGGTTGATTGGCCTTGTCTATACGGGTTGTTATATAGAACCTACGTTGATGCGCCTATTTATTGTTGATTACTTGGATGACACACTTCCAGGAATTTCGGGTCAGTCTTGGTATTTTGTCGATCTAGAATATCAATGTATTCTCAATCGGTGTAAAATAAAGCCTACAAAGACAAATATGTACAAATAAGACCATCAGGATAAGTCGATTTGATGCTTGTGAAATAACTAAAAACATCCCCTTCACATGACTTAAAGAGGTAATTACATTGTCTTAAACGATAATGAAAGCTCCACAACAATGTCACTTTTATTCAATGTATCCAGAAACAGAAAACGACCAGTGAATCATTACTTTATTTAGTAGATTGTTCAGAGCTTTCTATTTTTTCTGGGAACAACATTATTAAACCAGCCGATTGATTCAACAAAAACTTCTTTGATGAAGTTATTTATGTTATTCTATGCCAAAAATATTCATATATATTCATTTTGAAATTCCAAAGTAATAAGAAAACGGTCCTTCAATAGAATTTTATAGTTTACATTGTTTTGGATCAAATATTATCAGTGAAGGTTATAAAGATAAAATAAATTTGGAAAGTTATCTTCGAACATATTTCAGTGAATAGTATCTACACTTGGAAACTGGATAATTTAGTATATATATGTCTCTAATTGTCATCCTAAACAGTAAAATCAATACATACGCGTTTACTAAATCAATAAAAAGTTAACAATAAGAACCCCATCACCTCATTATCTAACAACTAGTCTAATACGTTCTGAAGCAAATTTGCGTCATAAATTGACTATATTTAGACCAATATAGAAATTTTTAGAGTACTGAACGAATGTTTTGTCCTCATATAAGACTGGCCTCCATAACAGTTGCCTTCTCACAATCTTACCATAGGTGGAACTAAGAAATTTCAGGGTTCACGAAGAGCGTTTAATTCTTAGGTCGTTGACTCATCGCACATTGATTCACATTTGCTTCCTAAGTCACTTCGTTATATTGTGTGAGTTATCTATTGATGACAGTGATACTTGCCTTACTGCTTAAGAATCACATACTGAGATGAAAAATACTGTCCAAAGTTCCCTAATTTTCAATGGATATCTAAGTAATACCATGGTTCTCTAATGTATTTCCCAGCACAGTAGTAGTAATCCAACTTTTGTTACATTTTCCACTTTCTTCATTGGATTGAATAAATCTTACGAATTTAATCCTAGAGGCTTCAACAACACACTATTTGCTAATGTGGGAACTTGGTGGAAAATCAGAGAGGTTAGTTTATGTCAATGGTATATGATTATAAGATATAACTATCAGTCCTCCACGATCTGCTGGTTGAGTTCTTGAAAATCATAGCGGATCAGTGGCTTAAGACGTTATTCGGTACGGATTAAAATGACAGAGATTACTTTATGAGGCCAGTCGTAATGAAATCTTTATGAATTATTAGTTAAGATGTAGTGAACAAGAACACGGGTGGGGACAATCGATTGTATTTAGCACAAAAATTACAGACTATCTCAATGAAATGTGAATACCATAAAGTCAATCGTCAATTCGCAAAATATCATTCGATCATGTGAAACTGTACTGTTCCCGTTGCAAACACTAATCCATTGTCGCCCATTCCATTGCACATGCGTTTTCTTACAATTCCATTGTGTTCTTGCTCTTCCTTTCTTGAACTTCGCCATCTTCTGCTGCCGGATATTACGTTCTTTTAACGCACGTTATATACTACTTATATCAATATAAGTAGCTCACACCACAAGATAAGGAAGATTCTATCATATCAACTGAATCATATTCGAGGAATCAAAATTCAAACACTTAAACTTAGTCGATTGGATTTGATCAAAACAGGGGATCGGGTAAAAAGCTTTTGTTGTCAAAAACCAAATAATAATAATAACTCAGTGGCTTTTTTTTCTATCTCTCTTCGAATTTTCATTGTTTTGTGTGGCGCATATATATTGGCGCTCTCTTGTACCAATATTTATGTGTTCAAATAATAAATAATAATAATAATAACAGTAGTCATGCTGACCAAGATAACGATGTAAAGACTATGACCTTCGCCTAGTGGATAATTCTCTTACACAAAACATTTTACCAATTATTGTATTTCATCGACTATGTGATAGATCTTATGATCTATCTGGTTTCACTTGGTTTGTATGTTCCCTCAATATTTTAGATATATAGGCCTTACAACTACCAATTATCTGGAAACCTAGAAAAAACAGCACTTCTCAGAAATTACGTTCAACCGCCTGACATTAATTCAGTTAACGCTTAAACGTTGTCAAGTTTTTATATCATGGGAGTGCATCACTGCAACTTATGAATAGTCTAGTAATTTATAAAAATCATATTTAACCTCAAATTAAAAAAACGTATTTTATTTTTAAGGGCTTGTACTTTCCCGTTGTTGATGATAAGGACTCCAGCTGGTCAATCTCTATTGGTATATGTACAACCTAAATGAATTGCTTCTAATTGTAATTTAGTTTCAAGATTTTAGTGTTATCGAATATTAGCTATCCATGGAATCCAGAGTGAGCGTTTGGCCCTATTACTAAAAGTTTTTGACTAGATGCCAAAATAGAGTTAACACACATATGCCATAAATGGACTAGTCAATTGTAGTCTTTACCATCAATATTGGGAGACTAGAAATCCTATAAAAAAAATTCATACCTGTTTCACAAGCTCGTAAATATTTGAACTGAATAGCTCATTGGATGACATTCAGTTGGGCGTTTGAAGTGAAAGAAATTGGGTGCAATTCTAGATGTGGGTATTACTATGAATGCTTTTATATCCAACCAACTGGTCACTAACATCAATAAACGCCAGTCGTCTATTCCACTGCTAACCACTATGCAACCCTTCATATATATATATATATATATATATATATATATATATATATATATATATATATATATATATATATATATATATATATATATATATATATATATATATATATATAAATTAAATACGTTTCATTATATGATATTTATATCAATTTATTTTAGTGTACCAGTAATGAATGAAACAATAATGGATATGCCCATGAAACATTTAATTACGGAACCATTATTAAATGTTGAAGAATTATGCTGTAAACATTTTCTTAGACTTTGTATAGAATCTTTTATTTTAGATCATTTGAAATATTTAGATGAATTAATCAAAACTACTGACAATAATGATGATAGTATACATTTCAAAAAGATTACTTAAAACGTATATTTATACATAAACAATATTTTTTGTCATATTCTACTGTTGTCCTATTCAAATACAGATACACACATGTCACCTGTAGATTGAGCCCCACACCTGCCATGCAAGGGCGAGAAAACTGATAAATAACAGATAAGAGCTGAGATTGGCTCACCAAATAATTAAATATACAAATTATTAGCACTTTTATACAACTGTTCTTTTGTCCCAGACAAAGATAAGATATATTCAAGACCATGACTATAAGTGGTGCAGTCCGGGTATTTTTCAATACTATTTGGTTTGTTTATCAAAATATAGATAAATTGGAATATGTCAACAGTATAAGTTTATCACTACCAAAATGACTATTTAAAGAGATGCACATCAAACCGTTTGATTCTGGGGAGGTATGAATAACTACGGTGGTGTCTCAAGGATTAAGAAAGAGGATGGACTAATTACACGAAACTTGACTAACTTACATATTATAACTTTTCAAAATTTTGTAAGTCTATCTTAATCTTGCCGGTTACTTTCAGAGGTTATTGAATAGATTTCTTCCGAGATAAATATGTGAAAGGAATCTGTAAGCGCCTGTAATGTGAAATGTAATTTTCTAGAAGTTTACCAACAAAAGTAATGAATCTTGTTTCTTTTACACTATTAACGAATTAATCAAAATACTTCAGATAACATTGTATTTTATAATTACTGATAGATAAATTCATTAAAGTCGTTTCAATTAACACGAAGCTCCAACAACATGTAACTATCTATTACATTAGTAGTTTAAAATAACTACATTTTGTTCAAATGATAGCAATACATCATTTCATCTTTAAGCTCAGTAGCTTGTGTCGTAATTTGAAGAGATAAGTACTGGGTTCGAGTCATGGTCTAGAGATCAACATATGGGATTCAAGTACAAACTCAAAGATTAGGACACATCTCGAGTCCCATTGCTAATTACACTCCCAAAAATATAATTAGAACTTTAACTATAGGCAATGTAAAGGTTTGTACATAGGATAGATACACATGCCAGCACAGATTGATCACATAAAACTGAATATCATCCATGTGGGAATACAAGTCCTTATGAACTTGGAAGTGTTTATTACTGGCGTTCATTACTGAAGTAATTGATTCCAACTGGTATCCACGACTAAACTTGATCATAATAATGACGACTGGTAACCAGTTTTTGATTTATTTAAAGCTGACAAAATTCGAACGTAATTCGTGTAAAAATGCACAAATGACTTTAAAAACTGTTAACTATTCGTATGAAAAAACAAACAATATATCCAACCAACAATTAGTCGAATAAGTTTGGGAAGACGTTTAAAGGACAGTCCAGTTAGTTTTTTTAATCAAGTCTTTCTTAGGGTGATACAAATATAAGAAATTGACTCATCACTCACAAGTGGCCGATGTCATGAATATTTAGCTCTTTTAGAGCTAGCCGAATTCTATCGATCAAGTTGCAACATGGCCACTAGTCTAATCTATTCGGCATCACGTGCACAATGTTGAGACGCAAGGTGGTGGTTGAAAGTAGTTGAGAGAAAAACTGATTCCAGGCTTTGTGCTTTTCAATACCCACCAGCAAGGTGTACATGTAATCCTAAGGGCAGTGATGCCCCCTGAACGATTCGATCTTTTGTGGATAGTATCGGACCAGCACCAAGACACATGGTTGAATCCACTATTGAAAACCAATACTCACAGGTAAATGTTGTTAACGAAAGCAAAACAGTGAAAAACCTGGGAACATAGTTCCCTGTGAACTCTCTCCGAACCCCAGTTAACGATCGCATGTCCTGTTCCTCAAAAATCCAGTTATCAATGGAAACGTTAACAAACAATTCATTTCCCTATATATTTCTCTACAATCGCTTACGGCTTGGAGATAAATTAGTAAAAATTACAATCACTTCAATTAATTGTGGGGATTTATGTAAATAGCAGTGTCTATTAATTATGATAATGCATTTACAGTAAGTCCACAATCTCAAACTGAATTCATATATTAACATTAAAGCAGTCGGGACAGCAAAAGCATGGTCCTAAACACCCCATACAGATCACTTGGGGAAATGTCAGATATCAGGGACGACAGCGCACCAAAATAATGTTTGTGTTTTATGTAATATACATCAAAGTCTAATAGGACCAAGCATTAAAAACAGTACATACCTTACGAAGTAGAGATAACATTGCGAAGAAATAAGGGGGGACATGTTCTTAAAATAGGATAAACATACAATGATGATGATTTATCTTATAAGGTACAATTCGTATAACAATCGAGCGTAAAACTTCTTACAGTTAGGTGGGTTCTCCCTACTTTTATGGAGGAAGTAGGAGAAAATTCCGCAAGTGATCTCAATTTTGAACTGTCTGAAGACGTCTCAAGCCAATGAATCGCATTATCTGTAGTATCAACCACAGAATATTATTGGCCCTGCAGATGTCAATCCTGCGGAGATGTCTTACTTAATAAAAAAACTAAATTATAAAATGATCACGTCTATGCTTATCCAACTACTTCAGGCATAAGCAAGTGTATAAGCCATTTAGACGAAACACCCTCCTACCACCGATATAAGTCAAAATGGTTCAAATGGTTGTGGACGGAATAGAAGAAGCTTTCGCTTAACAGGCTTCCGTGTCTAGTAGCAGGGGATCACCAAATCCTCCAGGCAGGAAACTAGGTATGTTAACAATAAAAGAGGAAAAGAAATTGGTAAATCATAGTATGATACTGTCCTTGGTCCTTAAGAATAGGTCAAGTTGCCTCTTGAAGGACTCCTGAGAAGTCGCTTGGACTAGCTCGGCCGGCAGCGAATTCCAGCTTTTGACAACTCTTAAGGAGTAGAAGTTGTGTCTACATCCCGTCTTGCTATATTGAGTTTCCAGTTTCTAGGTGTTACCCCTTAGGTTATTATTCGAACTAAGCTTGAGTAGATGTTTAAGAGGATGTCCAGAAGTGTTAAGAATACTACAAGCCATTAATAAATCACCTCTAAGACGCCTATACTCTAATGGGTAAAGGTCTAGTGAATGGAGGCGTTCTTCGTAAGGCTTAGATTTGAGTCCACGAACTGATTTCGTGGCTCGTCGTTGGATACGCTCCAAAGTGATCTTGTCCTTTTGGAGTGAGGGGGGGAGTACTATATTTCCGTACTCTAAATGGGGACGGATAAAACTATTGAAGATTGTATGGAAAATTCTTCCGTCAAACTGGCCAAAAATGCGCTTCAATGTTACCAGTGCAAGGTTAGCTCGGAAGTCAACTACAACTTAATCAGTGTACCACATACACGATCCCTTATTGCCTTGCTTGGTAAGTGAGAAAATTACAGTCGGCAATGCAGGTCTGCTAGGGTATGCTAATCTTCTCTAGTCCGCGTTTCCTCTTGAGAAGGCAGTGTCGGTAGATCTACCGGTCGCACGAAGGCATCTTACCGTCACCCATCACTTGACAGTAGTACGTATTAGTCCTCGAACCTTAATCACTATATTTTCGAGCTAGCAGCTACCCAACCGACCAAACCGGCACAGAGTAAAGGGAAGGCAGTGTCTCACGCAACGTCATATAACCAAATTTTCGGTGTAAGCGTGACAGCTTGAGAGGACAAGAAACCGTTAAATTAACCACAGCTGTATGGGGTGTGTCATTAAACAATGCACCCGACTGTATATACACCAGTGCGCCCGAAAATAAAGACAATCAAGAGCATGGGTTGTCCGGGTCGATTTGATTCGGTTGGGAACAGGTCAGGCCGCTAAGAGTCGACAATCAGCTAGCCTCAATTTTAATAATATCTGAGTTGCTTTTGGAAAGTAAAAGAGACGACACCCGTTATTGGGAACTAGCTCAAGACATCCATCCTGAACCTATTTTTTTCAATGAACTCACAAGAATATCGATGTGATAAGTTAATCAACTTCTCAAGGCATAAGACGATCCACAAAAATGCGAAAGTCATTGACTTTCCGGCTGTGTTCATATTACATAGCTCACAAAGTTGTTTGCCCTCACTAGCTAATAATTAGAAAACGGCATACGAACATAAAACTACTGTCCACTTGATCTCTCGACTTCCCACTATTACCTGCGAGACGAGCTACTATTGGCTCAGTTCACAATATATACAAACTTATAACTGGCACCCCCACTGACGATTGATAAAGCACGAAATTTAGAACAGTTCTTTTTAAAATTAGCATGAAAACGTCTTTATAGCTAACAGGAAAGTAGCTATTTCCCGAAACTCTGTATTGACTACGTGGGTAGCAGGCCGACCACATATTTCAGTACGCAACCATCACGAGAACGCCATTTAACGACAAACCAATATATTAACAAAGTTTAAGAGACTATTATTCAACAAGATTCTGTATTTTTAATGAAATTTATGTTTGGTGTAAACCAAGATACTCCTCGATCTCGTAATACATCTGTAAGGAAAAAACAGTCGTTTGACAATCCATCGCAAATATCAGACGCGGCAAACCCGCATTCTTACGGGCATCAACAATCAACATCATACCAACCTGGTCGATAGAGATAGGCTTCGATGGCATTCCCCTATAAGTCTTCGTGGAATCATCACAGGACATTGTGTGGACACTTGTTGTACTGAGACTTCATGATTAGGTGGTCAGTCTGGAAGGTAAAAAGAATCGTGTGACAATAGTTTGCAAATTTCAGACTCATTTTACTAGCTAACATATAACTAACATATTTACGGACATCAATCGTCATGGGACTAACCTAGTCTTCCATTAATAGACATTTCTGCGAACTGGGGGGATCTTTACAGGACAGTGTCGACCTTAGTTGTACCAAGACTTTTTAGATACTCTATCCAATGAGTGTCACAGCAGACTTGAAAAGTCTAACAACTTGTCGTTCACATTGCAAGGCTACTTTTCAAAAGCCTCTGAAGTTGTAGGTTGATTAAGTAGCTGCCTAAGAAGAAGACAATTAATTTTCAATTGACTCAGAGACATTGTAAATCATGTTATCATAGGATTGACAGATTGTGAAGTTACATCATGTGACCAACAAATCCCATTACTTACCTAAAAATAAACAAAATTAAAAGAGTAGTGATAATTATTTATGCATATTAAGTGAGGAATATATGAAACAAACACTACATAATCCTTCAGACATCTCCAGATCAACGTAGCGCATTTTCACACGGTGGGTTCTAACCGTGCTGTGGAAATCCACTGAAA